ATATATATATATATATAGTATTGAAATAAGAATGTAATAAAATATATAAAAAATAAACTTTTGGCACAGAATATCCTTTTATTTTCTTTACCTTTTTTGTTCTTTCTTACTCTTAACCTTTGAAAGATTAATCTTTTTTTTTTGAGAGGTTTTTGCTATAGGGTGCATGCACTCGCCAGAGAGACAGAGAGATAGAAAGCGAGAAACCACCGCCCAGGGAGGATGGCCACGCTGCAATCCCTTCTCCTCCATTCTCCTCTCGGGATCTTGGGCATGCACGCATACACACCCAGCGTGAATTTAAGCCACCGGGTCCGGGACTCAAACCATGGTCTCCTACATGGGAGTTCAGCGACATAGTCATTACGTTAACACCTGGTCCCAAAGATTACTCTTCATATGTGGGAAATGCATATAATTATTTAACAGAAATATAATGTACATAAGGTACTTGCTCTCTGTTTGAAGTACAAGATTGATGCATGTGAAAGACCAGCAAAAAAATAAGGCCCAAATTATTAAATGATGTATTTGATGTGTTAGAACTATGAAATCAGAGTTTTTCTGATTACCTAGTATTTTTCTATCTATTAATATAACATATGTCCACCAATAAATGCGATTTATTTTTGCAAGGCAAACTAGATCCCTATCTTGTCAATTAATTACCTCATTTCCATTGGACTGGATAAGAGTGGGAGGACACAGCCAAGTATGGGGAGGCAATTCCTAGTGCTTATTCTTCTTTCTATACCTATACAATAGGGCTTGCAAGAATTCATTGAAAATATATATGCTGTGAAAAACTTATGCCTGAATTAAAAAAAAATTTTTGCACCAAAATAAATTGGTACTTTAACTCCATTTTTTGACAAATTTTATGAAGTCCCCTTTTATATCTTTGATATATTTTTTCAAAGTTTATTATTTTATTGGTTTTTAGTTTTTAATTTGCTGTAGAATACACATGCTCACCAGAGAGAGAGGACTGCCAGACCAGCTACAGTCTGCAGGTGGACATGTGGGAGTTGAGCACCTTTACCATGACACCTGCTGGCCCCTATCTTGGATATAGAAGTTCGTTATTATCTACAACTACATATGGTGCATGTATAACTCTTTATTTACCAGTCTTCAATATTTTCATATCAGTTTTCTTACTTTACCCTTAAAAAATGATTATAAATAGTCCATATTTTCAGATAAGGAAAAATGAAGCAGTGATAGATATTTTCCTTAGAGATTTGCTGTAGAGTGTGTGTACTCACTAGGAGAGACGCAGTGATAGATATTTTCCTTAGAGATTTGCTATAGAGTGTGTGTACTAGCTAGGCCAGACAGAGAGAGAGTGACAGAAAGCGAGAAATCACCAGCCACTTTGCATCTCTTCTCCTTCATTCTCTTCTTGAGACTTAGGGTACTCGTACACATGTGCCTGGAGTCAGTTTTAAACTGCTGATTGGAGACTTGAACTGCGGTCAACTATGTGGGAGTCCAGCAGTATAACCACTATGCCATCTGCTGGTCACTAGTTTTTTCCCCTAATTTTTCAGTATGAAGGCCCTTTCCTACATTTTTGTAAATGTTTCCCTCTCTCATGTGATACTTTAATTTTTTTTTTTTTTGAGGGTATAGGGCGTGTGCATTCGCCAAACAGACAGAGAGACAGAAAGTGAGAAATCACCCCAAAGAGGAGAATGGCCACACCACAATCCCTTCTCCTCTATTCTCCTCTCTGGATCGTGGGCATGCACGCACACGCGCCCAGCATGCGTTTTAAGCTGCCAGGTCCGGGACGTGAACCGCGGTCGACTATGTGGAAGTCCAGTGACATAACCATTACACTAACTGCTGCTTCCAAAATATTTTTGAAATGACATATAAACCAAACTGTGTCTTTCTGTGTATAGGTTACCTCCCTCTGTGATAACCGTGTATTGTAACTAAACGTGTCTTGGTTCATGTAGGAAGTTTAAAAAGACTTTTGCCTTTCTATTGTCATTTATGACTAAGTTGACCTGCATCTTACAATAATAAAAACAGTGGTAACATACAGATGCACAACAATGCACACTACACATTAGCATGTGCATTCTGATTCAAGAGTCCAAACGTGAAAAGCTGGATTCAGTTTAAGTGGAAGGAAGTCAGGAGGAGAAATGTCTATGACTGTAAAAGACATTTGATGTCTGTATCCTCATCTCTGTGTTAAAGTCCTGAGTTATTATCGAATTGCTCATATTTATTTCACATATTATATACACATGTCCTGTTAGAGTTTTTGCTGTTGTCTTTCTTTACCCAAAGTATTAGTATTTATGTATGTGGTAAATATATGTCCTTGTTTTTTATTATTCTCAAAATACCAACTTGAAAAGAAAAAAATAATCATTTCAGCTTCTATTTTCTTGAAATGCTCTAAAACAAGTTTTTTTCTTTTTCATTTTTTTACTACAGCATAAATCAGCTAAGTATACTTATTGTGAGTATATAAATGAACCATCAATATGCTGAAATCTAAAAGGATAGTTGTATTTTTTAAAAAAAGAGTCAGGTTCAACATGAGTAGGCACAAATGCATGCTATTAATAAAGGACTCTATATCATTAAAACTTGGTGGGGCAATATTATTATATGAATAGTCTTTCTTAATTTAAACACCTGGCCAATATAAAACAAATTCGTATCAACAAAACAGAAGATTGCATCCTAAAGATTAAATTGACTGGTGGTTCTTTTCTATTTTCAGTCTCAACGTGTCTATATTTCGATTTCTTTATTTTGTACTTAATACTTAATTCTTCGTTTCCCTTTTAACCATATACTACTGCCTTCTATGGGGTTTATTTTCACTTAGTTCTATATATTCATCCTGCTAAAGCCTATGTTTTGTGTCAGGAGGAGGAAAAATACCTTATTACCTTCTTGTCTATTTAACATTTAAAGTTTTTCTTCTTCCCTCCCTATCTTGTATCTAATGAGCAAATTATCTAAAAATAGATACGTTCGTCATTCTACAAAATGTTGTATCTTCTCCAGATTGGAGGCCAGTGTAATTGTAAGAGACATGTGTCTGGCAGACAGTGCAGTCGGTGCCAGGATGGATTCTACAATCTACAAGAGTTGGATCCTGATGGCTGCAGTCCCTGTAGCTGTAATACCTCTGGGACAGTGAATGGAGATATTACCTGTCACCAAAATTCAGGCCAGTGCAAGTGCAAAGCAAATGTTATTGGTATGTGTAATGCAGAGGTTTACAGTCACATCTCTGTTACCATCTGGAATAATATTTTCTATTTGATTTCTTAACTGAAGAATAAAGCAAATTTTCTTGCTCAAGGCAGGTTGGAAAAAAAAACAATTTGGATGAAATTAACTGTCTAAAAATGATCAAATTAATAATTCTATCAAACTACAGCTTGAAGCTTAGTTTAATCAACCCTTTAGAAGTTTCTTTATTCTGTAGATGCATTAGTTCACATGGTCCCCTACTAATAAGTCATAGAAAAATATAATTTGCTTACTGCATAGATGTTTCTTTTGGAAAATTAGCACTTTTTCAAAATGTTTTACACTTAATGAGTTCTAAGCAAAGCATTTCCATGCTAGTTTTCTTAATAAACCAAAATAAATGGATTTTTTTTCAAAATATTCTGGGCTACAGAGTCCTTTGTGATAAATCTTTCCATTTTTTTCTATTATATTTCTTTGAACTGTTCCTATGAAATGCAAAATAAGTCAACATAATTCCACAGATCATGTATATTGCCAGGGTTAGTTATAAAGGGCCACATAATTTTAATTTTGTAATTCAGTGCCAAGCTGATTATAATAAACAGCTACCTTTGGTGTTATTTATCATTTTTTTTATACAAGACGTGCTTTTTTGTTTGTTACTCCCACAGGTATTTTTCAGAAATTAGATTTGATTATAGCAATTTATTACCTCCAACATTTTTGAGGGGAACCACTGCTACATAAGGACAAAATTTATCAAGTGCCTAAAATGCACTGTGTACATAATGCACTTTGAAATTTTGATATATGAGAATATTATGAGAGGAAAGTTTCCTGATGAAGTGAGTCCTGTATTGTAACTGAGCATGTCTTGCTTCATATAGGAAGTTTAAAAAAGACCTTTGCCTCTCTATTGTCACTCATGGCACCAAGCCACCCATGGTTTTTCTAATAGTGACCCAAACCTTACATAATGAAAACATGCCTGGCAGTGATAACACACACGCACACACACACACAGAAATGCATACATAAATATACTCATTCTTATGTGCACATTCTGAATAGCATTTTCATTTTTGTGATATAATGTTACATTTAAATCTTTAAAGGTTTTAGATGTGGAGTTACATACACATCAGGTTATACAATTCAATTAGACAAGTATTTCAATTTAATAAAGAATGCAGATGTGTTTAATGGCATTACACAAGAATTCTCTGGCTTAAAGAAAAATTACATCAAAATCTATAGTATAACTTGCCATTGTGCATCAAGCATACAAAAACTATTTAGAAAGGAAGAAGAATTAACTTGTAAAGGACAGCTCATCCTTGTATATGTTATCTGTGATGCTGAATAAATTTTTAACCATTGAATTCAGTCTATAGGCATCTGCGTTCTTGAATATGCGATATATTCTAAATTCTAAATGTGAAGAATAAAAGTTAAGGCCAGGCCTTTAAAGACAATCAAATGATTACTTCTTAATGTCTGTGGAATCTTTTCCTGTGCTGCTTGGATTCCAGAGCTTGAGGAAGGAAAAAAAACAAAATTTACTTAGCTTTGTTTTGATCTCCTTGCCATTTCCCTGCTCTATGGGTTATTCCAGATGGTTTTCTGCAGGAAAATATAAAAATATATTTTGTAAAAACAAAATCATTGTTTTAACATTATTATGAATAATCATTGTTTCTAAAGGCAGTACTTTAAAACCAATCTAACTCTGATGGCGTTATGTATTTATTTCTCCTGATGGGATTAACAAGTAACCTTATTCAATTTTATCTTGTTAATCTGAAAAATAATTCAGGAAAGCTCAGTGTATATTGTATACATTTCAGAAAGCAAACTGTTAGAGTTAGCAAAACTGTTAAATCTTACTAATGATTCTATCACCAGTAAAATACATTAGCACCAATAATTTTATTAAAGTAGGTCATTCATCTAGAATAAAAAGGGAGAAGAATGTGAATTAAATGCCAAGTGTGCTAACTCGCCTGTACTTGTTAACACCGAATGTGATGCCCTGTAGGCCTTCCTGAGTATCGTTAGGAATAGATTACCTGTCAGGAATATGTATGGCATATTCAAATAAGCACTGCGCATATTTTTAAAACTGATATGATATGAATCCATGTAGACCAATTTTAATAGTTCAAAATGAGTCATAATTCTTGTTAACAATACAGTTATTTTTAAAATTTGCAGCAATAGTGGTCCTTTTTTATTTTCCTTATTGAAATTAAATGATATGCCTTAGGTGAGTCATTCATCACTGTTAAAGAACTTGCCTTCCATTGGAGTTCTTGAATTTTTATCCATATATATACACATGTATATTATGCATTTCCTACCAGTTTAGGGAATGCTTTTCTACATATGCGTTTCTGAGTGTGTTTTTGACTCATTTTAAGGCTAATTTCTTTTATTGCTATGAGAGTTTGAAATGTTTCAGTTGATTCAATTTCATGTAGTCAGTTATTTTCATTCAAGGATATGTGTAGACTATCTAAAGGAGATATTTTGCATCCAAACATTTACTACTGCAATTTCTTTATTCCTATGCCTTATACTACCCTTTTTAGAACCAATCTAACCTAAATTTCCACAGCTTAGGTGATAAAACATTTTTCTCTGTTGGTTAAATGTATCTGTATACTCCTTCAGATAGAAGTAATACAAAGAGTAGAATTTACTTAGTGTTTAAAGAGGTATGATATGAATCACACAATATGACAAGCCATGTGATTGCTTTATGAGCCAAGGAGAGCATAATTTATATTAATTGAAAATGATAAAATATAGGCACATACAAAAGGATGAAAATAAAAATTGTTCTTGATAAGTTTTATTTGCATTAATTATTTAAATGGATGTTATTCAGAAGTATTACGTTATTGCTGCAAAAATAGCTATCATCTTAACATTTTATTTTTTATTTTTTTCCCAGTTTTATTAAGGTATTATTTTCAAATAAAAATGTATATATTTATAACATGTGATATTATGATATATGTATACATTATGAAATGATTAATTGAAGCTAATTAACATTTCTGGCACCTCCCATCCTTATCATGTTTTTTGTGGGAGAAACATGTAAGATCTAATCTCTTAGCAATTTTTAGTATACAATACATTATTATTAACTAGTTGCCATGCTGTATAATAGATCTCCAGAACTTATGTATCTTGTCTAACTGAAAATTTTTACCCAGCCTAACATTTTATTCATTTTAATTTCTAGGAAAATAACTAATGTATAGCAGGCAATTCTATACTTTTAAATGAGCACACTTTTAAAATAATTAAAATTTGATAAAGTACAATGCAAACAGAGTTGTGTATTGCCATCATATTTTGAGTATACAATTAGCTCTCTAAGGTGTTGCTTGTGCACAAACAAAAACAAAACAGAAACAAAAACTACTCTGTATTTTGTGTGTGCCTTAAGTGTCTGTAGAAGCCTTGTGCTTCAACTGTCTTGAATGGAGTCATTTTCCTACCCTTACCTTTTAAACCATATTTTCTCTTTAGGGCTTAGGTGTGATCATTGCAATTTTGGATTTAAATTTCTCCGAGGTTTTAATGATCATGGATGTGAGCCCTGCCAGTGTAATTTCTATGGTTCAGTGAACAAATTCTGCAATCCTCTTTCTGGGCAGTGTGAGTGCAAAAAAGAAGCCAAAGGACTTCAGTGTGACACCTGCAGAGAAAACTTTTATGGACTGGATATCACCACTTGTAAGGCCTGTGACTGTGACACAGCCGGCTCCCTCACTGGGACGATCTGCGATGCTAAGACAGGGCAATGCATCTGTAAGCCCAACGTTGGAGGGAGACAGTGTAATGAATGTTTGGAAGGATACTTCTACCTACGGCAGAATAATTCTTTCCTCTGTCTACCATGCAACTGTGATAGGACTGGGACTGTAAATGGCTCTCTGCTGTGTGACAAATCCACAGGACAATGTCCTTGCAAATTAGGGGTAACAGGTCTTCACTGCAGTCAGTGTGAGCCTCACAGGTATAATGCGACCATTGGCAATTTCCAAGGCTGCCAGATGTGTGACTGCGACTCCTGGGGGACATTTCCTGGGACTATTTGTGATCCCGTCAGCGGTCAATGCCTGTGTTTGCCTAATCGTCAAGGAAGAAGGTGTCATCAGTGTCAACCAGGTAAGAGAGAAATGTGTTACATTTTTAGTGCATGCTCTCCTTTATTTATACCATAATAGACACTTTCTCTCTATTTCTGGCTTAAGGTTTCTAAAAACTAATCTCATTGTTGTATTTACTTCATCCCCCCACAGAAGCATAACTGTATAACCTGTTCATTATTATTTTGGCTTACTTATGCTGCTATTTGAAGAGGTGTGGAGGTGATGAATTCCAGCCAATCAGATTTATATTATACACGTAATGTATAGTATATATTCATTTTTAACTTGAAGGAAATCCCCTTTTAACAATGGGAAATTTTTTTTTTTTTTGGATTAAGAAACTCAAGAATAGACAATCTTCACTAGTGCTGTAGTAATGCAACTTTGTGTGATACTGAAGCCTTATTGGAAAGTCTTAGGTTCCTGTCCTGAGGTCTCCATGGACACAGGGCACATGTATGTGTAAGTGAGCCTGACTTGTGTGCTTGAGGACCCTGTTGGTGTTGCTTCTCTCTCTCTCGGGAGAAATAAGTAAACTTTAATTAAAAAAAAAAAAGAAAAGAAAGAAAGAAAGAAAAAGGAAGACTAACCTCATGGCCTAGTTGTTATGGGAGCTGGATCTCATGGCCAACCATGTGGTTCGAATCCAGCTCTGGCAGCTTGAAAACTATCCTGGCATGTATTTGTGCATGCTCTAAATCTTAAGAAAATTGAGTCAATATTTACTTTCAAATTGATTAGTGTGACAGGTTCAAAGAGATAAGAAGGAATTGATGAGTAGTTAATTCTTTCTAGATATAAATGTGAATAAACAACCTGAACTAGTTTAAATGTAGGAGTATAGACCAGTGTAGACAAGACTTAAAGACTAGAAAGCTGCTAATGATATGCATTCATTCACTTTTCATTCATTTTCTTTCTCCCTCTTTCTGGGCTTAAGATCACTATCTACTTTTTTTTTTTTTAAGTTTTTATTTTGGAGAGGTTTTCACTATAGGGCGTGTGCACTCACCAGACAGACAGAGAGAGACATAGAGACAGAAAGCAAGAAATCACCCCCCGGGGGGATGGTCACGCAGCAATCCTTTCTCCTCCATTCTCCTCTTGGGATCTTGGGCACACACGCACACGTGCCCGGCGTGAGTTTTAAGCCACCGGGTCCGGGACGCGACCCGCAGTCTACTACATGGGAATCCAGCGACATAGCCATTATGCTAACTGCTGGTTCCTTTTTTTTTTACTATCTACTTATTTTTTCCTCTCAGCATGTATATAGCCACCCCACATACCCTGAGACTGCTTACAATTCTACTTCCAACTATACAGAGAAAGAAGTTAGTTACCTCTTGGTGACAGTTCTAAGAGGGAAATTCTAAATGACTGAATTTTGAATGGGTGGTTACCTCTGAGCCAATCCATTGTGCCCAGGGCTATCAGTGTCATACAGAATGAGCATGGCTTCTACAGACTGTATCATCAGGTAGGACAAAGATGGTAAATATCTCAGAGTAAAGATTATTGAAAGGTGGGCAGACAGCCTAAATGACAGCCATATCACATGGCACCCGCAGATACAGATTAATTCTTCTAAAATTGCAAACAGTATTTTTAGTATCCTAAAATGATGGTTTTTTTCTCTTTTACTGTTTATTAATATCTCTCATTTTGGAAACAATGTACTTATTTGGAAAAATAATGGAGGATTTGTGTATTTCCCTAAGTCAACTAGCAAAAGCAATAGATCAGACATTATATCCTTTTGAGTAATTTTCCTTTGTTAAAAAAATCATCGTGTTTTATTCTGACTTTAATTACATATATAATGCAAGTCACATATTTTAAATAATTTTTTTATCATTTGGGATAAAACTCTGAATCACTATTACAAAACATCTGTCACTCTAACAGAACATCTGCTTCCTTTAGTCTTTTCAATGAAAAACTTGGCCCACCATTCAGGTTTTGTTTGTTTGTTTGTTTGTTTTTAAAGGTTTTTACCATAAGGCAGTGTGCTCGCTGGATAGACAGACTGAGAATGAAAGTGAGAAATCACCCCCGCAAAAGGGATGGCCATGCTGCAGTCCCTTCTCCTCCATTTTCCTTTGGGTATGCACACACATATGCCTGGTGTGATTTTCAAGTCTTGAGATTTGAACAGTGATTGGTCATGTGGGAGTCCACCACCTTAACCACTGAGCCACTTGCTGACCTTTCAAGTATTTTACCACATATCTAGATGACAGATTAAAATTTTTAATAAACTTATGCTTTTACATGTGTTTTGTATGCTATAGAGATTATTTATAGAAATACTCATAGATAATTTAATAAAATATCAACAAACTAAGTAAGTAGGCTTTTCCTGATCTGCATAAACCTATTTCATTTGAATCCTTTCTGAGATGAAGAAAATTGACTGACTGGGGACCAGCAGGTGGCATGGTGGTTACAGCGCTGGTCATTCCCACATGGCTGACCAGGGTTTGAATCATGGACCTGGTGGCTTGCTTTCTCACTGTCCTTCTCTCTCTCTCTCTCTCTCTCTCTCTCAGTCTCTGGTCAAATTAAAAACTAAATGAATAAATAAAATTAAATAAATAATTCTTTAAAAAAAAAAAAAAGAAAGAAAATTGACTGATGTTTGCTTTCACCACCTGGTTCTCACTAAGGTGATTTCTTTGTTCCCAACCCTAAGTCGTCTTCTCCCACCCTAGTCTGTGGCTCTTTGCTATGTATTAAATGTGGTATTGGCAGAATAATTCCCCTAAACATTTCTTTAGTGACATCATTTCCAAAAGTGCTGTCTAAAATGAGTTTCTTTTGCTTATCACTTGAGTTCAATCTGAGCCAGACTTCAGAAATTGTTTTTTGTTTGGTTGTTTATTTGTTTGTTTTGTTTTTCATGAGAAAACGAAAGAGAGAGAAAGGCATCCCCAGGAAAGCCATCACACCATAGTCTTCCACCATCCTCAGGTGGGTGGGATCATAGAGGTGCACTCGTATGCTTCCAGTATGCTCAAGGAAGTCCTGGAATATGAACCCAGGAACTTTCCTATGTGGGTCCAGTTGTGTGAGCACTGTCTCAATGCCTGGCTGTCTTTGGGAGTTTTTAACTTGTGGCCCCAATCTATGCATCCACCTTTAGTTTCTGATATTCCTCAACTCACCCATTTCTTTCAGTCATTGCAATCACTTCCCTGGAGTGACACATGTCGTGTACAGAACTGATTTATATTTACCTCCAGTTTTTTTTTTCCTCCTTTTCTTACATGTAATCCTGTCTAGCCACTTTGTACAGTGTTCTTGATGCCCCTGAATAGTATTTTTCTATTTAATGTTCTGACTGTAATTCTCACTCACTCAGTGAACCATCAGTACTTGTTCAACCTCAAACATCAATGTTTTAAGAGTTTGTTTTTAATCCACATCTATAGAAAACCTTGGTAATGTACTTTTAAAATGTGCTTGGGCTTGTGTTTTCTTCATGCTTATTTATTATTTGAGGATAATTCATGTTCAAGAAATAATGATACATCACTCCTTACAAGTACTTTCATAATTATTTTTTCTGAAGACCATTTGGACCTATAAATAAACTCAGTGAGTTAAAAATAGAAAGCATTAAAAATTGTAAAAATATTTTAACTCTCTAAAAGCTCAACAGTCTATAGTAAAATATTTAATGGAAAATGTACCAGACTGAGAATTAGAAGATGTGAATTGGAGCTTCATTTCTTCCACTTGCCAACTTTCTAAAACATCTCTCTGGGACCAGCATGTTGTGTGGTGGTTAAGATGTTGGACTCTTAGATGGCTGACTGCGGTTTGAGTCCTGGACCTAGCCACTTGCTTCCTCACTTCTTCTCTTTTTCTGGTTAGTGCATGTGCCCTATAACTAGCAAATTAAAAAGGTAATAATGATGAGGGACCAGCAGTTAGTGTAATGGCTATGTCACTGGACTCCCAGGTAGTTGACCGCGGTTCGCGTCCCGGACTGGTGGCTTAAAACTCACGCCAGGTGCATGTGTGTGCATGCCCAAGATCCCAAGAGGAGAACGGAGGAGAAGGGATTGTGGCGTGGCCATCCCCCCTGGGGGGTGATTTCTCACTTTCTGTTTCTCTGTCTCTCTCTGTCTGTCTGGCGAGCACACACGCCGTATAGCAAAAACCTCTCCAAAAAAAAAAAAAAGATAATAATGATGATAAATAAAATCAAATAAATAATTATTTAATAATACAATTTAAATAATTATTTTTTAAATGAATTATTTTGTTTATTATTATGTTTTTAAAAAATTGTCTATAGGACATGTGTGCTCACTAGAGAGAACCACAGAGAGAGAAAGAGAAAGAGAGAGAGAGAGAGTGGGGGGTGGGAGAAAAAGCAAGGTCCAGAACTCGGTTCAGAACTTAAACTGCCATAAATAATTCTTAAAACAATAAAATTCTCCTGTGTTTCTCAACAGGTAACTTTGATATTTTCTGCCAGCTACCCATTTTCAACCATTGGCAATCAGCTTTGTCTTTAAGGTGGTACCTACATGGTGCCCATATTAGTTCTACTCACACTTTACTGGTCAGAACTGTATTATGTGTCCACACCTAGCTGTAAGAGAGGCTGGTAAATAGATTGTGTATCTGACTATTCATACATTTATGCAAATGTGAGGCCATTATTGTTATATAAGGAATAAGAAGTAAATTGATGCTTGCAGACTGTTAAGTCTTGGCTGCAGTGAGAATGTTCTACACTTACAAACTTGCCTGTCAAAATATTAGTCGAATTGAATAGATGTTTCTAATGACAGTGAGTTTGGCACTTTTAGGCATCTTGAATGATTAGCAATTAAAAACAAGGCCTAAAAATCACAAATGCCTCTTGAGCTAGAGAAAATACATGAGTAGAATTTCTTTTTGTTTTCATTCATTGTTTCTTTCTTGTCCCGATTGATAAGCCCACTGCTATTCTAAGCCCTCAGTCTTTCTAAGACAAGTTGTACCTTGTCAGAGCTCCTT